ATGTCAATAGGCTTGGAATGAATTTTTCTGTATGAAACTGTGTGTTTTGACAATGAAGAGGAGATCTTTTTTAAACATTGGAACCTAATTTAATTTTATCTCTTAGAGAGTTTATAATGAGTATAAGATTTTATAAGTGTAATAATTCATCTGTAAACCTAGAAATGTACAGCCAATTTTGAAAGAGATGTACCCTAGGTCAGAAAAATGTTATTGAATAGGTTAATGCTGTTGTAATGAAATGCTTCTTTTAATTAAAAAAAAAAATTAGATCCCAATTCTGTAATTCAATTTAATTTTTATTTTTCTCTACTTTTTATCAACTTTGTTACAGTAGGATTTTTGTTTGTTTCTTTGTTTTTACCAGGGTTGCAGATACACCTTTGGGCCTGGCACATGCTAGGCAATGGTTTACCACTAAAGAATATCCACTGCTCCAATTTTAGTTTTCTATATGGCTTATATTATAATTAGAAGCCAGGCATGGTGGTAAGTGCCTATAGTTTCGGCTACTTAGGAGGCTGAGAAAAGAGGAACAATTTAAGTCTAAGACTCTGACGCCAGGCTGGGTAATATAGTGAGAGCTGGTCTTTATAAAAAAACAAACAAACAAACAAAAAACCCACAAATTAATCTATAGGGCTTAATTTCAAAAACTTATTACTATGTAAAAGGCATATGTAAACTGTCTTTGCTACTTCAGCAGCTTTCCTTGTGTGGAATTATTTCAAATTAAAAGTTTTTAAAAAGAAAAAAGAACCCATTTTTTACTGCACATGCAGTCAAACTATTTAAAATTTAGAGTACGTTACTGATCTTTTTTTATATAAAAATATTTTATTATTTTTATTTTATGTGTATGAGTATACTGCCTGCAGGTGTCTAAGTGCACTCATGTTGTGCAATGACCACAGAGGTCAGAAGAGGACATTGGGTCCCCTGGAATTGGAGTTACAGACATGTGGGTGCTGGGAATCAAACCCGGGTCCTTTGCATCAGCAGTCAGTGTTCTTAACTGCTGAGCCGACTCTCCAGCCCCAACAAAGTAATGATCTTTAACTTAATATTCATCACTGATTTTCCTTTTAACAAGGCTATCTAAAAATAATTATAAATTTGCACTGATAATTGGAGATCAATTATTCTCTCCTGCCTTTTCTACAAAACATATACATTTAGAACACAGAGACTGAAAAATGATTGGAGGATTATACAATGATTCAACCACACTGAATAAGTTTTGCAAGTTCTTTTATACTAAAATTTTATACTCTGATTGGTAATTCTACTCCTAGGTGCTTACCCAAGAGAAATAAAAATGTACTCATATACACATGGGGTCTAAGGATCTAAGGAACTTTCTGGAGTGACTTAACTGCTCTACATCATGTTTTCAATATATGCTAATTATTATATATTCCAAAGACATGCATTTAATTTAAATTACAACTGAAATGAAAACCATGATTTTATTAAACACACATAACACACACTCCCTCACACACATACTCAGACATACATACATTCACTGTTTTTGTAAAACAAGTAACCCTGGCTGGCCTAGAATATTCTATGCATCCCAGGCTGGCCTCCAACTCCCGGCAGTCCTCCTGCATCAGCATCCCAAGTGCTCAGATTATAGGCATAAACAACTATACCTTGTTTAAAAACATACCTTCTAAAAAAAACAACAAAAAAATAAGAGCAGCACTGAAGAGTTTAACAGATCTGTTTTCATGTTCCTTACCTATCTAAGAGTTGATCATGTTTTTCTAAAGCATCCTTCTCAGCCATCACTGCTCGGTCCTTTTCAGCCAAAGCATTATCCCTCGCTTCACGGAGATTTCTAAAATCCAAAAATGCATCTCAGTTATTTTATATGCATGGGTATTTATGTTTTAAAGATTCATAAACTTGCTTGCATGAAGTTATACTAAACGAAAGAATCAAGGACTCCCTAGAGGTTGGTGACCCCAAGTGTACAGTGCATGAAGCTACCTGGCTTAAAGAGTGTTCTAACAGCATACAGCAATGTAGGTGCAAACATGGTCTATTTCTAAATAGAACTAGAATGGATATTAGAATTTAGTTGCATTTATTTGGTCATGGAGAATGCCAGCAAGGATCAGAAGAGTCCCCATAATTTGAAAAGTTTCTCTATAGCTTTTCTCCTTAGGGGTTGAAGGGTAGGTTAAATGGTTTATAAATAGATATATTTATTCTTCCCATAATCCAATGAGGTAAGTGTAATATTATCCACAAGGATATTGAGTTTGGCACAATTAATAAAATATTTAAAATTTTTTTATTTTATGTATATGAGTATATTCCCTATGTGTGTTAAGTGCACCTGTGTTGTGCAATACCTGAAGAGGACAGAAGAGGGCATCAGATCCCATGGAAATGGAGTTATGGATGGTTGTTAGCAACCATGTGGGTGCTAGGAATTAAACGCAGGTTAAGAGCCAGTGCTCTTAGCCGCTGAACCATCTCTCCAGCCCCCTGTATAAAATATTTAAGTGAAAGGTATATCTGTCAGTGGAGATCATTAAGAATTAAATCAGGAATGAAATCTGAGATATTGGCAAGAGAACAGGTGAAACAGTGGACCTTGGGATCTGAGTTGTGCAAGAGGAGAAGTAAACACAGGAAGGCTGAAAAATTATGAGAATAGAAGGAAAAAAGACTTAGATAGCCTGAAAAAATGCCAAACAGATTAAGCAGAAGTCATGTGCAAGATAACTAGAGATAATAAGACTAAAGACTGCTATTAAAGAACAGAGATTTGGGGACAGAATAGCACTTTTTGTGGCTGAATTTTAGTTGACCACAAAGCACAGTGTCACCATTAGAGCAGTTAAATGAAGGAGAACAGTAGTCATGTAGGGCTCAAGGACTAGGAGGCCAGGGTGTGACATAAATCATCTGTTTAAGCTGTGATAACAGTAGGAACTGAAATGGTTACTGTTAGTGACAGTTAAGGTGAGTGCTGAAAAGAGGGAAGGTAACAACAGTGACTGCTTAGATTATACACGAGCCTTCCCAGATCAAATTGTACTTAATGTTTTTAATACAGATGAAACTTTGATCAAGAAAATACCAAGGGGCTAGAAAGATGGCTCAGCAGTTAAGCATATCAGCTACTCTTGTAAAGGACCTGGGTTTGGTTCCCAGCACCACATGGCAGCTAACAACTGTCCATAACGTAACTCGAATTCCTGGGGATTCTACACCCTCTTTTGGACTCCATGGGCTTTGCATGCACACTGTATACTTACACAGATGCAGGCAGAACACCAAGACACAAAATAAAAATAAATTAAATTAAAAGAAAAATATCAACTCATCTTCATTTAGACAATCACTTAACTTTAAAAAAAGAATCTCCTTTTTTTTAGTATTTTATTTTTTTTATTTTATGTGTATGTGTATATTGCCTGCATGTAGGTAAGTGCACCTGTGTCATGCAATGCCCCACAGAAGAGGCTGTCAGAGCCCCTGGAACTGGAGTTACAGAAAGTTGTTAGCTGCCATGTGGGTGCTGGGATTTGAACCCAGGTCTTCTCCAAGAACAGTCAGTGTTCTTAAGCGCTGAGCCATCTCTCCAGCCCAGAATCTCCTTTCTTAGTAGAGCTATAATATAAAGAAATATAAACGATACCATAAATGATTTTGCTCACATAATCTCTACAAATCCCTTAAGATGCATCTTTGGCAGAGTGAAGTTTAGGGGGCTTCAATAACTGGCCCTAGGTGACACAGTCTAAGTGTAAAAGGGTTATAGGTTGACTGTAGTTAAGATTACTCCAAAGCCCATGCTTTCTACATCATACCACACTATCTCTCATAAAGAACTGGGCTGGATACAAAAATTTGGATTTTTTATTTTTCATTGAGAACATCAGTAGGAAGTCATGAAAATGCACATGGGTAGAATAAATCTCTGTAATACATCCTAGATAAAAATGCTTAGAGATCATACTTGCTGTGCCAATACTCAATGTAATCTTTTGCACAGTGATACTAGTAACAAATTTAGAATATGACAACCATTACAGATTTCATCAGCCAATGTTTATGAGCCAGAAATAAAATAGTTTTAAAATTGGAGTAGAGGTCATACTTGTTTAAAAAAACAATAATAATTTTTGTATGCTATTATCTAAACTAGAAATGCTTTCTTAAAAGTAGCTATTACAAAATGACATATTGTTCTTCTATTCTTAAAACCAAACAAAACACTGAAAATAAATTTTAGAGAATAAAATGTTCTAAGTATCATAAACATTTATATATTTTTCACTCCAGGATGACCTAAATATTTTAGTTAATAATTCACAAATTAGTTTTAATTTAATGTTCTAAGTATCATAAACTTTTATTTATTTTTCACTCCAGGATGACCTAAATATTTTAGTTAGTAATTCACAAATTAGTTTTAGTTTTCATTTCTCAAAAGTGCTTCATTATTTTATATGTGATTTAAGTAGAATTCCAAGTAGATCACATTTGCAGTACTAATTAAACATGAATGCTTAGTTAGTAGATGGAGAAGCCTCAGTTCCTAACTATATATATATATTTTTTTTCATACCAATGAGCATTAGAAATAAGACCAAGCCATAGAGATTTACTTAAAAGTCCAGAACAAGCTAAGGGCTTCTAAGAAGAAGTATGATTAGACAGTAATAGTATAATTCACTATGCCATAATCTCTATTATCTAGCTAAGTATAGTGCTATACTAAGGCATACAAAGAGGAGGTAATTATTTTTGGCTGTAATAGGTGACATAAGAGAATGAACAAAAACATGTTTTAAAGTGATTTATTTATTTTTGTTTATACAAATGTTTTGATTGCCTGTGTGTTTATTGGGGTATGTGTGTAGTGCCTGCAAAGGCCAGAAGAGAATGACAGAGCTGCCATGTGGGACCTGAACCTAGAACCTCTGGAAGAAGAACAAGTGCTCTTAACCCCTGAGCCACCTTTCCAGCTCTGGGAAACATCCTTTTAAAATGCCATGCATTTAAGAAACCTTAAAGGACAAACATAAGGCAATTCTAAAAGAGAAGACAAAAGTAAATAGGGTATATTCTAGAAGCTCAGGCTTTTTCCATTAGTCTATTTCATAGGTGTGTACAGGTAAGATTTTCTAATAAACTTGTTTTTCTCAGGTGCCATATCTTTCATAACAAGTCTACAATCGACATAATTTATATTTCCTTCAAAATTATTAATTGGCATGTTTCAAATTAAGTTTGAGATAAACTGAATATATTCTAACACTGACAACAATGGCTATAGTAAATATATAGTGTTTGCCATATGTCAGAGGGTGTACTGGGTACTTCACATACAGAGACCGAAATATCCTCCATAGGCTCCTGGGTTTGAACACACGGTACCCAATTGGTGGCACTGTTTGGGAAAGTTGTAAAAACCTTTAGAAGGTGGAATCGTGCTGCAGGAAGGTGGTCATGGGGGGTGGGAGGCAGGCCTTGAGGATTTATAGCTGACCCCACTTCCTATTCACTCTCCACTTCCTGAGGGCAGATGCATTGTGACCAGCTTGCCTCCTGCTCTTGCTGCCTCGTCTTTCCCACCAGGATGGAATGACTGTAAGCCAGATGGTAAACCCTCCCTCAAACTGCCTTTTGTTAGGTATTTGGTCACAGTAATGAGAAAAGAAACCAAAATGGTAACTTGCTTGTCACAACTCTAGGTTGTATCATTATTTCTGTTTTACAGATGAGATTATGAAAACACAAAGAGTCAGTCCAAGGTCACATAGTAAGTACACTAGAGTTCAAAGTGCAACCATTCTCCATCTAGATTCTGTGCTCTGAATTACACTGTGTGGCCTTTCTAGGATTCCCTTTTTTTCCACAGACATTTTCTTCTTGGGATATTTTGACATTACGAGGTTTGTGTTGCATGACCACATCACGGTGCAAACAGATGTCAAATCAAAATTAGCTTTGAAAAAATTGTGAGCATGTTATACATTTGCTTCCACAGTATAGCATGCTCTTTCAAAATTAGACTAGTTTGACAAAACACCAGATGGGTTGCATTCCTGCTACAGATAAAACAGTAACTTCCACGTAATTAATAAATAATCCATTTCCAAATGTTAAATACATTAGAAGATGTAACAAATGTAATTATAGAACAAATAGCAGGAATTCAAATGTTCCTCAAAAGAGAAACTTGAAAAATTGACAGAAGCTATCTATAGCACATATAAGCTAATGGAGATCAGATTTTTGTTTTTTGTTTTTAAACTGAATGCAACAAAATGTATTATAGTAACAGAGAAGGATATTGGGAGTTAGCCAACTGGCTAACATAACAAACATTTTAAAACGTAAAATCCACAGGCCTAAAAAAAAAAAAAAAAAAAAAAAAAAAAAAAAAACCATAGATTCAGTGCAATCCCAGTCAAAATCCCCGTGACATTCTTCACAGAAATAGGGAAAAAAATCCTAAAATTCATATGGAATCACAAAAGGCCCTGGATAGCCAAAGCAATTCTGAGCACAAAGAGCAATTCCACAGTCCTTCAGTATCTTTACAAGTTTGGTTCCAGAATATCCTCTACTGGCTCCTACCCCATAGGCCCCACCCTAAGGATACAAAACCCAAAGATCCTGTAAGTCTTGTATATAAGATGGCATATATTTGCATATTACTTATAATAGGCATCCCTTATACACTTTATTTCTAGACTACTCAGAATACCCAATACAATGTAAATATAATGTAAATGTAAGTTGTTGTTGCACTGCACCAATTAAGAAATAATGAACAAGTTGGGCATGGTGGCACACGCCTTTAGTCCCAGC